TGGCAGCTGCAGAATCCCACAATGCTATTAAGCTTGTTTCTTTGGAGAAGGATGCTTTAAGATGCTGTTCCAAAGGGTAAAATTGTCTCAGCCAACGTGACACTTTCTCTAGCCTAAATGCGAATGTGTAACTAGCCCTTCCTGTTCTTTGTAGGTTTTATGGCAAAAGTGAAGATGGAGATGAATTTAATGACGCAATCCGCAAGCTGTTCCTCTCCTTCAATGTCCTCATGGACCGGCCGTTAGAGGAGGCTGTCAAGATTAAGGTATGCAGAATTCTCAGGGAGAGGGTTTGCGAGAGAGCTGCCAGTGGCTGTTCTAATGAACTGTGTGTGGCAGGAAAGCAGCATTTGAATCATCAAATAAAGATAGGAGCTCTTCACGTATTCTGGAAATGTAGCTTAGCTGAAACCCCAAAGTTTACCAAAACTAAAATAGTTGGCTAGGCATCCTTCTCCCTTCACCTTTTCCACTCTGCACTGCAGATATGTGGTTGCTGGAGGCTCTTCAAATGCATAAACTCTGCCTTAAATCAGTTCTCTTCTGTTGTCTTCATACTTGCTCTTAATGAAACTAGATTTGCCGTAGGACATAAAACCTGTGTGCGTTGTTGGTGAGGCTTTGCACTCTTTCAGAATGAACCAGCTAATCTGTTCTTATTTGTGTTTCATGTTCTTGTTTTTTCTTGCAGGGTGCAGCTTTAAAGTATTTACCAAGCATTATAAATGATGTCAAACTAGTATTTGACCCCGTTGAACTCAGGTGACTATATAAAGTTTGTTTGTCCTCCAAGTGCAACTTATGCTTTGGGAAGAATTTGGGGCATGTTCTTAAAACCAGCCACTGTGATTATGGCGTGGTGATACAGGGACTGCATAAATTTGAGGAAGCTCTTTGCGGGGCTTTAGAGGAAGGCAGTTTAGTTCAAAGGAAAGCAAAAGTTTGTAATGCTTCAGGAAACTTAAAATGTGGGATTTTTCTTCTCCACTGGTTATAGCTTTGCCTAAAACCTTCTTCCACGTTTCCTTGTTCTGACAGAAGTAATTTGCTAGTAAGCAGGAGACAGATAGCAAATGTACATGGAATTTAATTTAGTGGAATTCTATGATTAAAATAAGCCATCAGTCTTGGCTGAGGGGGGCATCTGGAAGGACATGCTCTTGCCATCATACGTAGCAGTGTTGCAGATTTCAGCAGCACTGTGTTGAAGCTTTCCAAACTCATGCTTGCCCTTTGTATGGAATCATGATTATTTTACTCTAGCTGTGAAAGGCAAGAAGATAGTACTCCAGTTTACAAGCTCGTGTGACATACCTAGTGTGTCCTGCGGTGCAAGCCTCATTTTGAGAGGGTGTGAACTGCCAAGGTTCTCTGAAACAAAGCGTCAGACTCCCTAGTAACTTGCCTAACTCGAAAGTTATGTATCAACAAGTGGCAGAATGCTTGACTGCCGAGGTGCAGGGGAGCGTCCGTGTGGCTGGAATCGCACCCACTGACCGTGCTGACCAGCTGCTGCTTTGTGGTTTGCCCTCTAGCGTCCTCTTCAGCAAGTTTATCCAAAGTATTCCCGACAACCAGCTAGTGCGGCAGAAGCTGAACTGCATGACCAAGATCGTGGAGAGCGACCTGTTCAGGCAGTCTGGTAAGCAGCACACTGCAGGCTGTGGGCTGTGCACGAGCCGGGTGCCCATACGAACCAAGAGGTCTTTCTGGTTCAGCTGTCCTTTACGTTATCTTTACGTGTGGGTGCTGAACGTTGTACAAGATGTGTTGCTCCGTTTCACTTTTTAGAATGCAGAGACATGCTGCTTCCTCTGCTGATAGACCAGCTAAGTGGTCAGCTGGATGACAATTCCAACAAGCCCGACCATGAGGCCACCTCCCAGCTACTTAGCAACGTTCTCGAAGTCCTAGATCGGAAAGATGTGGTGAGTGTGATCTGTGAGGGGTAGAAATTGAGAATAATTCTTCTTTTGAGAAGTGATGCCAAAGAACTACTCTCAACTTATGCTTTGTAGAGTTATGAAGCTCACACGTTTATAGAAATGGTGTTGTCTTGCCATGCTGCTTTGAATCTCATTGCAGATAGCGCAGCTTTTCCTAGGGGAGGCTGTGCAAAGGTTCAATCAGTGGCTGCCACAGCAGTACAAGAAGCAATTTCAATCTTTGTTACGGAACAAAATGTTACTTCCAATTGCTTTGGAGACTAGTAGAATTACTTGCAGCAAGCCATCTAAATACTCGGTTTGCCTTTCTCTGTTAGGGAAAGGAGTAGCCCTTGTCATTAACTTAGAATGCCCAGTCACTCGTCATGTTGGGCATGGAGATTGATTCTAAGCTGCTTTGAACAGAACAGTTTGAACTGAATGACTGCTTAGGGCAAACAACTGCCAAATCAAGGTGCCAAGTTCAATTTAGCTGTACAGAGATCAGTAATATTAGCTCCTCAATGGGGTAAAGCCTGCAGTATTTCAGTTGATAAGATGTAGGAAGGCCGCCTTTTATGTATCTTCCCAACAGCAACTAACCACTGTCAGAGCAGTCCTCCCTTGCAAGGTGCTCTCTGTAGGACAGTTCGTATTAAAAATTGTCTCAAGTTGTCCTCCCTGGCTGTCTGCAGGGGCCCACTGCTGTCCACATCCAACTGATCATGGAGCACTTGCTAAGGAGGATAAACCGCACCGTGATTGGAATGAGCAGACAGTCTCCACACATCGTGAGAACCTTTTCCTTCCTTCAGATACCACCTTTGTAATCTCTGCTGTTATATTTTGTTGTATTATAGTTTGTTCTCTGGGGACGTTCAGTGTGTGGCAGTATCTTAGGAAATAATCTTTCTGCTTCCTGCAGTGTTTCTGTGCCACTGAGCAGGGCTTTGGGCGGTTTCTGAGGACGGGTATTAGGATGCAACTTGTCCTGCTCCAGCAGCAATTAGAACTGAGACATAGTTGACCATGATTTCAGGTTGCTTTGGGCCTCTATACCCATGAACTTGGTTTCATCCCAGCCTCTAATACAAAAGCATTCTCTGCCCAAAAAGGTGCAGGTTTGCTATCGTTGCTAAAATGGGATTAAATGCTCCAGTATGAACATCCTTAAATTGCATTTCTTACTCCACTGTGTGGCATTGTGGTTAGGAGGTGCAAGAAAGTCGATGTGTTCCACTAATCCACACTGTGCTTAGTGTTCAGAAACACTAAAAAGTAATGCTTCAGCAATACTTTATTTTTAGTGACACAAAGGTCTAGAGAACACTAATACCAGTATATTATCCACGTGTATCAGTATATTCCACTGTTTGAAGGATATGGTTTTCTTGCAAGCTGTGATTCTTGCCACAAACAAATCTATTCCTGGACTTCATACTTGAAATTCAGCCGGTCTTTATTGCATTGGATTATAGAGGAAAACAGTCACACAGTCAGGACATAGATCACAGACAGAAATCAGGGCTTTGATTTCTGGTACTTGATTAGGCAGAACGTGGTAGCCTATGCCACAGTTTGAGTTTATGATGCTTAACACAGAAAAATAATCAGATGTGTTTTATTTCTGTTGTAGGGTATTTTTGTGGCCTGCATGACAGCTATCCTGAGGCAGATGGATGATTTCCATTACAGCCATTACATCAACACTTTCAAAACGAGGCAGGACATCGTTGTAAGTGAGCCTTGCTGGGGGGATGAGCTCAGCCCACAGAGAATTGCTCCCTGCTCTGAAAGGCCGTTGCTAGTGGCTGTGCTCAGGTTTGAGCGATCGTGCCGCGTTCGTCAGCAGCGAGTGCCGGGCACCCCGTGCCACAGGGATGTGTTCCCATCTCCCTGCGGGGCGCACAGCCTGGCACCAGCACTCGTGGCGCTCAGTGAAAGCCACGTTTAGTGGCTTTGAAGTCAGCGCAGCCAGGGGTCAGGAACCAGAAGAGTGAAAGAAGATGAAAGGGAAAAAAGTTCAATTCCCCATTTTTCTTTCTTTGCTTTGTTTATGTACTTTTTGTGTGTGGGGGACTTGTTCCTTTTCTTTTTAAGAGTTCGGAAAGTTTTATAAAAATACTTTTAAACTAAAGAAGAGATGGCAAATTTGAAAGCATATATGTATTGATTTCTGAAACAGGGAAGTATACTTTATTAAAAGTCTCATGGAATAATAGCCAAAAATCAAAATGCTGCATTTCCATTCAAACCGAAGAGCTGAGCGTAGTGCTGCAGCAGGTAGCAACACAGGTAACTTCCTCCTTGCTAAGTCTTGTACAGTTTGTGTTCCCAAAGGCTTTCGGTGTGAAACCACATGAAACATCAGGTTATGTTGGGGGAGAAGGGCTTTAGAACAGACTGATCTGTCCAAATTTGTCTCAAACTTCCTGGAAAGGCTGAAACGAAAATTTTATTTATGCGAGTCTCTGAAACATGATCTGGCAACTGCTCTGGCTTTGTCTTTTGGTCCCTGCATTCCCCGTTGTGCAGCTGGGAAGCAGTTGCTGACGCGGGTGGTGGCTGGGGAGGGCCGGCGCCGTGGTCCTGCCTCTCGCCGTGCGCTCTGAGGCCGGAGGTGTTGGTGGGCGCCGGGGGCCGGATGGCTCCGGGGACACCCGCACCCCTCACCTCTGCGGTAGGGTTCACCCTGTGAACGCAGGGCCACACTGTGGCGTTACAATACGAATTGCATTTGCATCTCATTTTATTGCAATAACTTTTATTGCTGTTTATTTTTGTTGTTTGCCTTTCTTTGCTGTGGTATTTGCGGCCCTGACGTTGCATCTTTTACTTGCTTGGTCTAACAGTGTTCTAAGTTAATTCTTGTTTCAAGGTGCCCCTTGTCAAGTCCAGCCCTTTCCATCAAGCTCTGATTTAATAAGGCCTAAAGGGTTTTTACTGAGGCAGCACCAAATGCCCGTTGCGCTCTCCCCACATCGGTGCTGCTTGCCAATTCTTTAGAGCAAGCTGTTCAGCTCAACAGAATTTTTCTTCACTGGTGATCTTTGCAAGGTGGTGATTTCTCAGACGACCTTTCTGTGTTCTTCTCATTTTGAATGCAAATGTGCTGCCTTTGCAGAGAACTGAATCTATTTAAATGCTCATAGGTAACACATCTGTAGAGATCACTTTTTCCCCCCCCACCCCCCGCTTGAAGGTCAGTATTAATATTATCTAATTTCATTCTTATTTTATATATAAACATGCATTTAAAAAATGCAATTCAACCTTACTTTGCCCAGATCTTAGGGTGCAGTAGCATTACTGGGATCAGTTCTGCAAATATCTATAGTAATGTTCTAAACCATGTGTCTGTACATATGTTTTTAACAACTTGTCCTGAAAAATAGTCTAGAAGAGACTTAAATAACTGAGGAGGTGATAATACATTAGAGTTCCATGTTCATAAATAATGGTGCTTTGGGCTGGTTCACTGTCATCGTTCAGACATTCAGAAACAAGTCCTCAAATACTGTTTTTGCTTTTTAATCCATTTTGTGCACCAGAGCTCCCTGTGCCACAGCTTAATTCAAAACAGTAAAGACAGATTTAATTAAAAAGATTAGGTGCACATTCTGTGGAGTTATTTTTCCTTCTGTAATTGGAAATTCAAGATGTCAGATATGTCATTATTGGGATATAGTCCCACAATAAAAGGTTCTTTTTACTGTGTATTGATTGCTAACCGATGCAGTCTGTAATCAGTGCAGCTGCACATTTGCATTTTCCTGTATTTTCATGTGGTTAAAAGGCTACACTCTTCAGCCTAATGGGCTTTGGTTTTTTTGTTTGTTTTACAGGATTTTCTGATGGAAACATTCATTATGTTTAAGGATCTGATCGGAAAAAATGTTTATGCAAGTGACTGGATAGTCATGAATATGATGCAGAGCAGGTAGATGGTTTTTACCTCCTGTGACCACTTTGGATTTTTTTTCTGGCCCTGGCAGTAGGGTGGTTCCCTATCAGCAGTCCTGCAAATCATTTGTGTAACAGAGGCTTATTTTCTTTTATAGATTCAGGGTGTTTGAGGTTTTGGTAAGGTCTAGTGCCTGAACTGGAGATGGTTTTTCTGCCTAAGGGTGCACAAAGCCATGAAGACCTTGTCTCATTGGGGCTGCTTGTTCTTGTCTCCCTCTGAGCTTCTACGAGGGGATTAAACCCAGAACTGCGGTGTTATTCTCTGAAAAGGCACATTTTTAATGCAATTCTTTGTGTGTTCCAGGGTTTTCCTCCGGGCAGTGAATCAATTTACATCTGTACTCAATCGTTTCTTTCTGGATCAGGCAAATTTTGAACTCCAGGTAATAGCTCTATTTTTCTGGACTTTCCTTGGGCCCTATAGATTCCTGAAAGGCAGTAAGAACAAGCAAGCCCCACTGACTGGATTTGTTGGTGTGGAAGGTGCAAACAGAAGCATCCCCGGCCTTGCACAGAAAGGTAGCTCAGCGCAGGCCAGCTCTGAATTAGAGACCTGCCCTTAGTGCAGCAGATGAAGCTGTTGCAGGTTTATAAGCTCCGTAGCCTGCTGGCTAACGCAGAATTGTGTGTGACTGGTTAAGAACAAAATTCACATGGACATAAAAATTGCCATTTCCTGCAGGGGGAAAGTCCAGGCTAGTGTGAGTGAAAAATTTTAACTTGATACCTGCTTCTTGCTTGCCTGTTATGGCTGAGAACAGTGACTCAGCTATGTCACGCTCCTTTTCTATGCCAGTTGTTACATTCCCTTTGTCTTCTCTTATTTTAGACTTGTTTCTCTTCCACAGCTCTGGAATAACTATTTCCATTTGGCAGTGGCCTTTCTCACTCATGAATCCCTCCAGTTGGAGACCTTCTCACAAGCTAAACGCAACAAAATTATCAAGAAGTGAGTTTATGTTAAAAAACAAACTGGCCTTTTTTGCTTTCAAGAAACCATATTTGTGCTTCTCCCCTATATCCCCTGTATGATATTCCCTGGGCAATCTTCAGGATGATGCATGCTGTGGAAGTGCTTGATCAGTGAATGACGACAAAGGGAGGAGGAGGTGGGACAGGGTTTTAAGGACAGGGTTCATTTTGTGGTTGTACCATTAATGTTCTTCAGCAGCCTCTCAAAGACAACTCCACTGTAAAGGCCTTTTCGTCTTCCTTTTTCTTTCTAGGTATGGGGACATGAGGAAAGAAATTGGCTTCAAGATAAGGGATATGTGGTATAACTTGGGTGAGTTCCATCTAAAGACAGTTATCTTTATTTGATCTGGATTTCAATTTTTTTGTTTCTTCATAAAAGCCACTCATGTTTCCTGTGGGGAAACGCATGTAGGCTCAGCTGTTTCCAAGCACAAAGTTGTCTTTCCTTTTTCTGGAAGCAAATCAATTTGCAAAAGCAGCTCTTCTTTTTTTTTTTTTTTTTTTTTTTTCCCCACGTCAGCTGATGCGATGATCTCTCAGAGATTCCATATAAAGGATGTCCTTCACGCGGCAGGACAAGAGTAGCATTTTCCAGAGAGCTTTTGTGGTTTAACAGTATGCGCACAGTTGGTTCCTTCCTTCTGGGACTATTTCTGAATGTTGGAGCTGTAACATATTAATTCCACCTGCAGTGACCGCGTGACCATTATCTGCCTGCAGATTGTTATTGTTCTGACCAACGTGCTCCCATGTGCGTGTGCCTCCACGCAGCCGTGCGCCACGGGGCGATGCCTGACTCTTCCTTGCAGGTCCGCACAAGATAAAGTTCATTCCAGCAATGGTGGGTCCCATCCTGGAGGTGACGCTGGTTCCAGAGCCCGAGCTGCGGAAAGCCACCATTCCTATCTTCTTCGATATGATGCAGTGCGAGTTCAACTTCAGTGGGAATGGAAACTTCCATATGGTGAGGGAGTCTGGTGTCTTCACTGCAGATGTTTCACATTGAGCAAGAAAGTGTGAGCAGTTTAAAAAAAAAAAAAGCCCACTATGGGTCGATGTGGTAATAACTGAAGTAAAGGGCTAAGAGCCTGGTCTGTGCAGCTCTGTCCCTGACTGTACCCTTGCATGACTGTGAGTGATTCGATGAATATCTTTGTTTTCAGGTCGCTACGTACTTGCAGATGTGGAAATACCCACATCTAAATTGTGAAGCAATTTTGAGACCCTGAAAGGATAGTCTACAAAGTTGTTCCTACTATTTACATTTATAACAACGTGTATTGCCCTAAGGCAGGTTTTTGGCTGTATATGTAAGCTACTGGAAAGAAAGCTGCTGGACAGTCAAGTGTACAACATGAATAAAAATAACACCACATAGCTATTTACGTATTGACTAATCTCTCATTAACTTAAATTTCACAACACACTTGTGAATATTGATGCCCTCATTATGAAATGGATAGACAGAGAACAGAAATGATTAGCTGGAGGCTAGACAAGTTAAAGGACAAAGTTGGGAACAGAACGTGAGTCCCTGACTTCCAAACCCTTGCTGATTCTTCTGGAAGTTGCTGTTATTGCTACTGAGAAAACACTAATGAAGATGGAAAAAGAGGATCCTCTCTTTTGCCCTTACATTAGCTTTTCACTGCAGTTTTTAAGGACGTTTTCTCCCAGCTTTCCTCTAGGGTGTCAGGCATTAACATCTCAGCTGGCAGGCAGGGGACATTCCAGTTCCGCTGCAGACAGTCTTCTCCCTGGGGACGAGCAGGAGCCGTCCATCCACGAGGCAGCCACCCTGGCGTTTCAGACTGCTGTCAAATGTGACGTGTGTTTCCCTGAGCGCCGCACTCGCGCCAGCTTAAACCCGAACTTCAGTCTTCATTTGGGGCCCTTCTTCCCCGGGGGCCTTTGGCACTGTTCGCCCCAGGGTCTCAGGGGCTTCTGGAATCAGTAGAAGGAAGCAGGATGTGTGACATGGATCTTCCATTCCAGTAATATTTATAGACTAGCTATAGTGTCCTTGATACTTTGGAGTGTGAATATTTAAATCTTGGTAGCAGAATTATGAATGACTCATGCTCGATGTGCTTACACATAACAGGGCATGAGTACATGGCTAGGCACGGATAATCACATGGCACTTGCTCCTCATTCTGATCCAGTAATGAAAAAATTCTCTAGCTTTGCTTGTAAAACCAGCACCTGGGGGCAGGACAGTTCAGAAACACCAGCCACAGCATAACTTGTGTTCCTCGAGAGTTAACATCTGTTTGACATTGACTGGCTGGTTGGTTTCTTATTTTTGTTGGTTTTTGCCTTTTCAGTTTGAAAATGAGCTGATAAGCAAGCTGGACCAGGAAGTGGAAGGTGGCCGAGGGGATGAGCAGTACAAGATTTTGCTGGAGAAACTGTAAGTTCATGACAAGCATAGAGGATTTCATGTTCTCAGCTTAAGTATCTTTTGTCATGAAGAGAAATCCTAATTAATCCAGTGAGCAGAGAGTGTAGTTAACAGCAATTTTAACACTGAACAGGTGTGCTGAAACTAACTGCCTTAAAATGATACATTTGTGCTCAGGTGGGAATCTACGCAATGCTCTAGGCTTGGGGGGGTCAGCCTAGAAGAAGATGCTGAGCTGGCAAGCGGGCTGTGAGTAGAAAAGCTTGGGAACAACAGGCCTGGAGGCTAAACAGAAATCAGAGCCTTGTTTGAGCACCGAGCAAAACCCAAGTTTTTGACTTGATCTTTGGACATGTCTAGCTTGGCTGTATCAGGCCTGGGGGGTTGTTCTGCTCTGCCGTTGGGGAGTCTCTGTTCCTGGAATGCGTTTGACTTAGCTGAACAGTTTGGATAACTGTTCCTGAAGTTCGTTTAGCTCCGCTCAGAACTTGACACAGGAATTCCCTCCTGTCTGTCTTGCTCTACCTGGATACGTTTGCAGCCTCCTGGAGCACTGTCGGAAGCACAAGTATCTGTCTGGATCTGGAGAAGTGTTTGCGTTGCTGGTGAGCAGCTTGCTGGAGCACCTGCTGGACTACAGGACCATCATGCACGACGAGAGCAAGGAGAACCGCATGAGCTGCACCGTCAACGTGCTGGTAGGGCCAGGGCTGGGCTTGCCCGGGGGGGCCTCGCTGCTTGCCTGGCTTGTGTGGGGTGAGCTGCGGGCAGGTCGCTCACACCGCAGTGAATGTGGGGGATTCTGTGCTGCAAAATAATTCCTTGAGAAACATACGTATTTTCCTTAATCTCCAGAAGGGAAGCTCTTGAATGAGAGCTGACTAAAGGAAAGTTTCAGTAGTTTAAATAGTTCTGCATGCCCCTTCTGGCTAACGATGGGCCCAAACCGGGCTACCAGTTATCAGCAGCTATAAATCTTGGAAAGATGAATAGTCCAAAATCAAATTATGTAGCTGGTCTTTGCCTAATCTGAGGTCCTGAAATACAGGCTGGAGAGATGGCTAGCTGATCATTTGGGAAATGTCCTGGTACCGCCACAGAGAGCCTGTGCAACCTTGGGCAATCACGTTCTGTCTTGGACCTAATCCCCTCTCTAGAGGGGCTTGTCCAACCACGCTGGATCAAAGGGGTATTGCAGGGATAAATGCTTTTAAGTGGGCAAACAATAGCAAAGATCATTAGAATATGAGTGATGCCTAAGTTACTTTTCTAGAGATGACAATGTGAATCCATTGTGTTTTACATCAGTTTGATTTACCTTTTTCTATTCTGGGCAGAATTTTTATAAGGAGAAGAAACGAGAGGATATTTATATCAGGTAGGGTGCTCCCTCCCCAGGCCTGTGTAGAAGCCTCTATTTCCCCTGGTGTTCTATATGGTGCAGGAATTCTTCATATGAAACAACAATTTGCATTTCATTCCTTTAGGTATCTCTATAAGCTCCGGGACTTGCACACAGACTGTGAGAACTTCACCGAGGCCGCGTACACCCTCCTGCTCCATGCAGAACTGCTCCAGGTAATGCAGGCAGTTTCGGATTCCACTGTCGGGGTGTGGGTTTCAGATGAAATGCAAACAGCTCCAAGTTAAACAGTTCATTCTTCTGTGCTTTTATGTGGTTTTGAACCTAGGTTCTAGTGGTCATTAAGGAATTTCACGATCTTAGACACTACACAGCAGCTAAACAAACAAACAAAAAAATGAAAACAAAAGCCACAAAAACCCTTGTAACATTACTAGAATCAATGTGTACACATTCCTAGTTTATATTAGGCAGCCACCCACATTATATCACTGCTAAATTCACCTTAATTTCCCTTTGCATTGGTGCTGATTTTGTCTTGAGGACAGAAGATGAGTCCTTGCAGAAGATGAGTCTAGCTCCTGTAGATTTGTTTACCTCAAATCTTCCATTTCCTTTAACTTTATCTGTTTTCCTCTCTGCTAGTGGTCTGAGAAGCCATGTGCTGCTCACCTGCTCCAGAGGGACAGCTACTGCGTCTACTCACAACAGGAACTCAAGGAAAAGCTCTACCAAGAAATTATCTCTTTCTTTGACAGAGGCAAAGTGAGTATTCTCTTTGTTCCTATGGTAAATACGTGGCTTAGTGAATGTAGCTGGGACAAGCTGCCTGCAAAGAAAGAGCAAACAGGATTCCACAGCAGCTCGGATGCTTTAGGCTTGTGTGCAAAGATCAGAGGTCTAAGAAAAGCAGAGTCTCTTTGTCTTGAATGACTAGATCTTCTTATTCCTGTGCTAGTCAAAGAGCATCTGTAAAATAATTCAATTCAAGGTACTGAGTAGTGTGGGGGTTTTGCTTGTTTTCCTTCCCTGAGCAGTGTCTTTGGCAGAGCTTTGCAGCAAACGTGGCCTGTTTGGCTGATTCTGGAGTTTTAGCTCGTTGCCTTTGGATAGGTGGTTCTGCTGCTCTGCTCTTCGTGCTCGCTGCATGCGAGTGTGGAGGCCGTGATTAGGCAGTACACTGACCCCGAGTTAGAATCAGCTGAATGTTTTACTGATCTTTCTGTGATAAACAAACACTTTTAACAGAGTCTTCTATTTTGTTTGTGCTTTCCTCATCTGCCTCCATTCATCCCCCCATGGAGATGTGGGAGAAAGCCATTCAGCTAAGCAAGGAGTTGGCTGACATGTATGAAAACAAGATCTTCGATTATGAGGGACTTGGTAACCTCCTGGTAAGGTTTCTCTCTCTGTTTTTAGCTGGCTGTCGTTAATGTTGAGTAGCTTTGCCCAAGCATGTGTTAAGAACAAACAAACATTAGCCCCCTGTTTTATAATACTAGAGGAATATATTCATAATTCCTATTTTTAAAAGTCTATGTATTTTTACCTTATTAGAATGCTAATATCCTATGCAGGTGTTTAGCAGTCTTAGTGTTAATCCATAAGGTAATGTTTGCAGGCTCCATATATCTCTTCACTTTGTCATTTCTGTGATAAAGCTTTCCTGTACAAACACAGAATTGTAAAAATGTCTCTGTACTGATTTTTTTTTTCTTTTAAGGTTAAAGATGTAACCAGCTGTCCTTTATGCTCTTTCATATGCGGATCATCTGCCCAGTTTTATTTCTGCCAGTTCTCTGACATTTGTCACCATTTGTCTGCTTCCTAACACTTTTTAATTTGTGTTGCAGCAGTCAAGGCTTTTTAATATTTTCCTGGAATCCCCCAAAACATGGCACTGTTCTCACATCTGCAAACCAGGAAATGAAGCTGATATTTCACCCAAACTAGTAAAAGGACTAATAGGAAATATTCCAAAACTGATCTAAAATATTTTATAGAGGAGAACTAACAGACCAAGAATTTCACAGTGAATGTGAACTGTAGTTTCCCAGTGTCTCTGAGAACTCAAAAATTAAAATCCTTGGAACTTTTTTTTCTTTCTTTTCCCCCAGAAAAAAAGAGCTACTTTTTATGAGAATATCATGAAGGCAATGAGACCTCAACCAGAGTACTTTGCTGTTGGATACTATGGTCAGGGCTTCCCTTCTTTTCTGCGGGTAAGCATCCACGTTCTGGAGTGGCAGGCTCCACAGAGGCTGCAGGGGATGCGTTTTCAGAGCTTCCTCAAAAAATTCAGATGCTAAACTTTTCCTTTGAGTTAAACTCGAAGATCTGAATTCCCTAAGCATGTTGAAACCCCTCAGCCTATATAGATTGACAATTAACGGACCACAGTTTTTTTTTTTGTTTGTTTGTTTTTTTTTTATTACCAGCTTTGGTAAAGTCAATGGGTTGCAGTTAGGTTTGTCAGGCAATTAACTTTCTCATATATGGAATTAGTGAGAGTCCGGGGAGTTTGCAGTGACCTTGAAGGAAAGGATAAGTGCGATTCCTTGCTTTAGGCTGTGCAGCATCTCACAACACGTGAGTTCCGTGATGCCCTTCCTGAAAATCCATCACGCTGTGGCTTGTGCCAAGGATGAAGTCAGACTTAATCGTAGTTCTTCCTTCTATCCCTTACAAGTCAATTGCTGTGTCTTTGCCTATTTAGGGAGCCCCAGAGCTGTCGTCTCCTCTGATCACAAGACTTCTAGTGTGACTTGAGGCGTGGAGGGAATTGGCACCCCAGGAAATGCATGATCTCACATACCCAAATGTGCCTGTATGTGTCTGCACTGGCTGTCAGTTGGCTGTGTGAGATTCTGTGGTGGAATCTCCTACTCGGCAAATGAAACCTCCTGAAACATCCAGGGTTTCAGGATGCGTGTGCAGGGCAGTTAAGGCAGCAGCTTAGCAGCAGCAAGTGTATCCAGGTACACGCTGGGTAAGGGCCCAGCAGCCCACAGCAGGCAGGATGAAGTGAGTGCAGAATGCAAGTGTGAGCATGTTCAATAACACCCGTTCACGGGGAAAATGGACTTTCTAGGTGAATATGAGGATGCCACTGCAGGGTCTTGCACCTATGGGTTGCTCTGTTGTCGCTGCAGCCTGCTTTCTCTGATTCCAACTGCCTTTTAAGCTAGGAAACAACCTTTGATATAAACTAGACCTCCGAGACTACTCTGTGTTTGTTTGGAAAGCTCATTCTCATTGCCTTGTTCCCTACTAATTCTCTTTTTCTTCTGCTGCCCACAGAATAAAATTTTTATCTACCGTGGCAAAGAGTATGAACGGAGGGAAGACTTCAACCTGAAGCTCTTGACCCAGTTCCCCAGTGCCGAGAAGATGACCAGCACGGCTCCCCCAGGAGAGGAGATCAAGTCTTCTCCTAAACAGTGTATCTTTTAGTTCTGACATGTTTTGGCTCCCTGGCCTGCCTTCTTCTTCCTTGAAGAGGAGAATTAGTAAATACCAGATCAGTAAGAAAGGAACACACTGCCCCTGGAGGTCTTGAAACAGACACTGGGCATGAAAATAAGAATATCTGTAATTGAAACAGTGAATTTAAAAGCATACTGGAAGAGAATTGTTTTTGTGAAGCTTAAATGAGCTGTTAAGTTGAAACCTTCACAGGTTGCAGTGGAGGATTTCTTGTACCTCCCCTTCAAGGTGGCACTGACAGTAGAAGTGGGATGCAGAGAAGGTTCTTTCTCCTTCCTTGCAGTTAACAAGGATTTATCAGTTGTTTTGGGAGAGGGCGGGGGATGAAAGTGCCATTTCTCTACTGTGTGGTAGAGAATCCATTAGGCTGAAGACCTTTCTAGTTCTGAGTGTGGCCAGAGGAACCTCATGAAGATTCTTTGGATTCTCTCTGTGACTTCAAGTCAACAGCAGATGTGTTGCTGGAAGAAGTATGCTAGTAAACACCAAGTTACTGGGCTTCTTGCCTATGTGTTATGCAGGCCAGACTAAAGAATCTAATGGCCCATTTTGGCCTTAAAAATCCATGTACAAAGGCCCAACTCAAGCAGTGATACCAGATGCTTCCCTTGTAATGAGCCTGCCAAGCACTAAATTCGCATAGGAAATTAAAATTCATTCAAGACCCAACTTGGTGTCAAAAAATGCCTTCTCTATTTCTGCCTTGTTTCAGCTACTTCCTTTGCATCTGTTTGTTTGTTTTAGTGCTTTGGCTCAAGATGAACCTGAACTGCAAAATTTGGATACACATCTGAACTGTTCCAAAAGTTTGGGGGTGTTTGTTTCCGGGTCTTTGGCATAGCCCTGTTATAAGAGGGAGCAGCTGCATAGTTTGGATTTGATACAGGTTCTTTTCTGACTCTTGCAAACATCACTGGAAAATACAAGGAATTTGAGTGCCCAAATTGCTGTTGCATTAGGCAGGGATTAGTGGTTCCTCAATATCTCCTGCTTTTACTTGTTTTATAAAAGTGTAACAGAGGCATTAATTAAGCTGTACAACATCTTAGGGAATGCCTAGATGCATAAACTAACTAGTTCTGAAATAGAAATTGTAATAGCATGTTTAGCATGGCCCAAGACTCCAGCTAATAAGCTCTCCTGAGAGAGCTGGGGCTTAGTGCTTGATCTAATGCATCTGTGTGGTTTGGGGTTCAGATTTGGGGGGTATCCAGCTGGCTCTTCCGTGCGGGCAGCGTGACCTTGCCTTTGCTTTGAAAGCACCACGCAGAAATATCCGCGGTGAGTTGGAGGTCCAGCCGCCTGTCAGGCAAACGTTGCCGTTCCAGAGCAGAGCTGACGAGCTCACAAAGGTGATCTGGTGATTTGGGCCAAGGTCTTTATGCTTCACTCTTCCATGTGGGTTTCTACTGCTGTAAAGTCTTCAGTACAGTTCTTAAAGCAGAGTACTGTAGGAACAACACTGTAAGCTGTTGTGCTTGGGGATATTATTATATTATTACAAGATGTTCTTGTTTACTATCAAAGGTCGGCAAAAGCCAAAGCAGGAGTCGATGTTCACTGGTAATAGCTTACGTGCTTAACTAGCTTCCTCATGCTTCAGGGGCTGGGAGGAAGGCTTGGTCCTGCTGGAAAGCTCTGAGACAAGTGATTAGAGAAGGGGGAGAGACAGATAAATCCATTATGGAACCTAATCCAGAATCCTGTTTTCCCATTCCCAAAGTAGAAATCAGGAACACACAAACTTCTGAGGGAGTGTCAGCGTTTGGAAGTATTCCTAGAGCCCTTATCTTCTGGGGCTTTTGATTCATGACTCGCATACAAACCGCAATAAGAAATATAATGCCTGGAGTTGCTGATGAACAACTGAGTATTTTTCTTTAAATGTGACAACAGCACAGGGAGTTGTTGAGAAGTTTTGACATTTGATGAAAACGGGAAGGGTTTTTCTCTGTCTCTATTTTCCCAAAAGGATTCATAGTTTTTCATCCTTAACCATAACTGTTCAGATGTGCAGTGCTTTATAGTGAAGCCTGTGATGAACCTGCCACCTAACTATAAAGACAAACCTGTTCCCGAACAGATCTTAAAGTAATTGCCTTTTTCCTCAACGTTTACTCTGTGCTTTCTTCTCAAATAGCATAGGCACAAGCTAGAGTGCCTTTGTTGCTCATCTGCAGATTTGATTCATAGTCCAGTTTAAACTATTTCTGAAAAGAAATATTAGTGCAAGGAGGATGGACGGTGAGGAGACTCACTGATTATTCTTTTTTGTAGCTACTACAGAGCAAACGAGGTGCAGCAGTTCACCCACTCGCGGCCGTTCAGGAAAGGAGAAAAAGATCCAGAGAATGAATTTGCGGTGAGTCCTTCCCGTCTAATTCCAACTGTCTGGAGTGTGTGCAATGAGAAAACGGTTCTGTGTGTTTGTTTATTAACAGTGGTATTTTGAGCAGCAGTGTCACAATTTCTTTTTCTTTGTGTGTGGCAGTAGAATTTGGTTGTTGAAATGCAGGAGGAGCAAAGGGCTGCACTTAATATTGCAATCTTTATACAAAGCCAGTCTGGTATGTTGAGGGAGTCCACAGCTGAAGTTGTAATGTCAAAATCGTTGATCTAGGAGCTGTAAATATTGTGCTCTAACCGCAGTTTCCTGCAGAGTACAGCTGTGTGCCTGGCGAAATGTGGCTGTCCTTAAAAAGTCAACCTATAACCATGGGGGATGAGCTCAAGTTCAGGCCAACTTCTGGCCTGCAGCAGAGCCTGAGCCATGGCTGTGGCACACGAGCATGTTTTCCTGCAGCCTGAGGCCTGCAGCTGCCTACACATCGTGGCTGTGCACGATGCATGCAACTCGAGATAGATGTGTTACAATCACGCTGCTGCCAGCAATGCTCCATGCAGGAAAATAGCCACATGTTGCTTTGATGTTATTTAAATAGTAAAGGTGCCCAAAACACTGGGTTTCATCCCAGTTAATGAAATGTGAAAATAATTGCATCAGTCTTGCCTGCTAGTGCTGAAAAACTGGTTCCATGCTGTAGTGCAGGAGAGAACTGAACTGGAAAACCAGTGTTTTCTTACCTTGGATTCTTTTCCCTCCCTAACTAGACTATGTGGATAGAAAGGACAACCTACACAACAGCTTACTCGTTCCCAGGCATTCTCAAGTGGTTTGAAGTCAAGCACATTGCAACGGTGAGTCCTGCACGTGGGCCGGGTCGCAGCCCACTCGACCTTCACTGGCTTAGGGCCACCTCCTTCACTGTTGGACGTGGCACACCAATAGATTCTGCTTTAGACACAAGCAAACGTGTGTCTTTTTTAACAGTGGAGCAGAATGAAGGTTTATTCCCGTTTCCTTCCTCTCAGGAGGAGATCAGCCCCTTGGAGAACGCCATAGAGACCATGGAGCTCACGAACGAGAGAATCAGCAACATTGTCCAGCAGCACGTCTGGGACCGGAGCCTGCCCGTGCATCCGCTCTCCATGCTCCTGAATGGGATCGTGGACCCAGCGGTCATGGGGGGATATACCAACTATGAAAAGGTTATTTTTCATATTTATCTGTAGCTAGGTCATGGTGGAAACGAGTTCAGTTCTCAGCTGGTGCTGAGATTTGAGGGTACTCCAGCTTTACCCGCATCTGTTCAAAGTTCAGAGACGGAGAAAGAACAACAAGGGTGAGAGATTTCCCCTCATCTGGAATGTGGAAGCCTCCCACCTTCTTGGTGTTTAATCTCAGAGCAGTGCGCTGCGGTAGGATTAGGGAGTGAGGCACCTTGCTCTGATGGTGATAATAACACAGCCATTTGCAGCGGTGGTGATAACGTAACACGAGCCTTCCTGCTGGAGGCACTGGGTGCATGGTTATCCCACTGAACCAACAACAGAAACAAAATGACTTAGGTTTCTACGTTGCATTAATATAGAACAATAAATAAGGATTTTTCTTTCCAACAGATATTCTGTCTTTGCAGTGTTGTGACAAAGAGCATGTATTTCAGAATAGAAATAATCTTTGCTGTTCAGGTTTGTCTAGCTGTTGGCATGGTGTGTGTTCTTCAATTATGAAACTGAAGCTGCTTATTCCTGGTACTGAATTGTGGTACAGCAGCATGAAATATACTGCTTATTTCCATACATTGAATTGATGATATTAAAATGTTTAGATGTGTTGCTGACATATGTAATGAATTACAAAGTTAAATGGGAGAGGGTCTGGTTTGTCTAGGGTGTAAAACTCTTCTGATTCCAGGGGAGCTGCATACTTCACTGGGGTGAATTTGGCCTTAAATACTCTCATTTTGTGAATTAAAGTTTAGAAGTTTAGAATTACGAAAGTGGGAAAGCAGTTAAAACTAGGAAATGCAAAGTATCTGTAACCACATCTGGAAATAATCATTTCTGGTTCATATTTTCCTATTTCAACTAAAGATCAGCGGAGAACATTTGGCTTTTGTGGGTGGCTAGGATCTTGAGTTTTAATTGTTTCACTGAGGCCAAAAGCCAAAGTCTGCATTTTTAACATGGGCTTTCTTCTTGCAATAATTAAACACTTTCAAGAAAAGTCCGTTGGGAGCTGCACAGCCATCCCTCACAGGCTGACCTTCTCCTGACAGGAGCCTGCTTCAGAATCATACCACGAGGCCTATAAACACTGGTGCGTATCGGCCAGCTCATGGAGTGCAGAACTAAAAAATGTATGCAGAGGCTGAAATAGGTCAGAGACACATTTTAAAGCTGAAGGAAAAATATTAAGCATTTTATCTAGGAAAAGGGCAAAGGATTGCTCTGGAAGTGTGGGGATCTTTGTCTCTTACTCAAAGCTGGCTGTGCAAGTATGGTAGTCTGTGATCGTCTTCTCTCTTCTTTCAGGCCGCTCTGGAAGTGTGGGGATCTTTGTCTCAAAGCTGGCTGTGCAAGTGTGGTAGTCTGTGATCATCTTCTCTCTTCTTTCAGGCGTTTTTCACGGAAAAGTATCTTGAAGAACATCCTGAAGACCAAGATAAAATTGAATTGCTCAAGCAATTAATTGCTTTACAGGTATCATGTTGGGAAAGATGCATGTGTGAGCACAGGTGTTGGCTTTTCCAGAATTCTGTTTTGGAAAAGAGACTGTATATAACTGCTGTAGGAATGAGTCTTGGGATGTGTACAGGACTTTTTTAAAAAACATATTTTAAGAAGAACTGTCTATTGTAAAACTGTGGGGCAGAATATTCCACTTACCTTGTGGTGTCCTGAACTGTTACTCCGGAATATTTGCCAGTGTGGCACAGATGTGGTTTTTTTTTTTCTTATGAGTCTAGCAAAGTATGTATTATCTTTTCTGTGAAATCACCAGACAGACCCAATATTTTCTCACTGTGTCCACTAAAAGTTGTCTGTTTCAATTGCAAGCAGTGAGAAATTGTCCTGTTTTTATAATGTAAATTCCATCCATGCAGATTATTTATCCATTTTCATATATTTTCGTACAACAGAGCCAAGCTGAAGCTGCTTCACACTTGTATTGCTTTGCAGGCCAAGGGAGGGGTATTCTAACACTTTGCACTGTGTGTCCCAAAGCAGAATATAGAATCTGTGTGAAGACCACCACTTAAGTATAGGTGGGGAAGGAGTTCATGTTTCTTTGTAGAACACATATAGAGTTCACATAGACAGGCAGGCTACTGCAGTGCCAAGTTCTGAGTCAATAACTGAGCTCTGCAAACTTAAAATGCATGGACCTTAAATCCTTTAAATGTGCCTGAGATGTGTTAATAGGTGTAGAAAATTCTCTCCTATAGCAGGAGAGCTGGTGGGTCCTTTCAGAGCAAGTTTTGCTGCTCTCTTTAGATGCCCTTGTTGGCAGAAGGGATTAGGATCCATGGTGAGAAGCTGACTGAGGAGCTGAAGCCTCTGCATGAGAGACTGATCGCCTGCTTCAGAGAGCTGAAGAAGAAGGTGGAGAAGCAATATGGTGTAATAACTTTGGTAAATATATCTTGTTGTCTGTTACTGTGCTTTAAAGCAACACACCGTACTCCTTTCTGGGCTTAAGTTAGTGTTACCCGATTCATCCTAAGTGTGTGTCCACAGCCTCCCTCCCTCACCGAAAGGAAACCGAGCAGGTCGGGCTCCGTCGTGTTGCCCTACATCATGTCTTCCACACTGAGGAGGCTCTCGGTGACGTCGGTGGCCTCTTCTGTGGTCTCTACATCTTCCACATCATCCGACAGCACTTCTTCCAGACCGGGTTCCGACGGGTTAGTAGTCAGCTTTTAAATGTGATTTACAAGAGTAGAGACAGGCTTTTACCACAGAGAGTTATTTTATAGTATTTTCAAAAAATGGCACACTCAATATAATTAGTTACTTGTAAAATGAAGAGTTGTTCAATACAAATAATACCGATGCTTTTAGAGAACCTTAAATGGAGGTCAAATTATTCTGTTTTACAGATAGGGATTTTGAGGCATATGTAAGGATGGATCTGGGAATTAAACTCAGAATTTTCTGCCTCTTGGAACCCAATTTTTTATGTAATAGTGAGAAGGGATATAAGCAGTGTATTTCAGATGTACACTACCTCTATTCCGCAGGGATCCTGGAAAACGGGATTTAGTTCAGTGTGGTCTTCAAAGAGATGTATGGCCATATGGTACTAGTTCCACCCACTTGTTTGCAGCTGCTTACATGGCATTAAAGGGAGCTTCCATATGTGAAACACTTCCTGCTATTACTTCTTTGCATCTGCTTTATATCTGTCATTGCCAGGGTGTCTAGATGACTTGGTCAAGGTAACGCAGTGGGCTGAAGGGCATAGTTCAGCATAAAATGCTGATCTTACTCCCTCTGCAAGTAGATCGTGCTTTGTCCTACGCCTAAGGAATGATACTCAAATTGCTTGAGTAATTTAAGAGCAGAAGTTTTGCTAAAAAATCCATGTTTCTAATTCTTTTTTTTTTTTTTTTTTTGCAATGACCTCTTACAGTAGTCTTTTTTGCAATTCCTCTCACAGGAAATGTGTGAAACGACACAACTAGACTAATGCTTGTTTTTTCACTTTCTCGGTGTGGCCTGCAGGTCTATTCTGGAGCCGCTGTTGGAAAGGAGAATATCAACAGCTTCCAGAGCTGAGGAACTGCTCATTAAAGACGATGGTGACAACCGGATTAGCAAATTCAAGCGGAAGGACTGGAGTATTAGCAAATCTCAGGTTATTGTGGAGAAGGCGCCAGAAACTGAACTGACTTCCAAAATGGTAAAAATAATGGTGGTAATAAATTCCACAGCAGGAGACTTTAGTGTCTCCTTTGCTTTCAGACATGCTTGCCATTGGGAACTTCATTAAATACTGGGAGGGGTTCAAATACCAAAAGTGTTGGTCATCTGAGTAATGGCTTGCTTTTTTATTTGGAAAACTTGTGTCAGCCTCAACTGCAGTTTGACATTAAAGCACAGATTTGAAGAATGGGGCACTGATGTTTCATCTAGGTGCTCAGTACCCTCTTTACTTATGGGATCTGAGGGTTATGTGATGTACTCAGCACCACGCAGAATTGATCTGTTTGTGTTGGAGCAAGTAGTTACTGCTCCAAATCCAGCTGGCAAGCCAGATGCTCAACTGCTATTAGTCACCATCACTACACAAATCAAATGTACTACGAGGTGCAGATCAGTTTGAGAGATCTGGGAATGAGAAAAGGACAGTCTGGTAGTTAGGTCACTAGCTCAGATTTTGAAAACTGATTGTCTTAAGTTTATCATGCAGGCCGTTCACAACAGAGCACAATCATTTGCAAAAGAGGAATAAAAAAGACCCCTCATTCTGATAGTGTTGTAACAAGGAATATATTGGAGACTGTTAGGCATTCAGGTTGATAGTGGGGTCCAGGTAATAGCCAAGTAGGAATAGATAAATTTCAGCCCAGAGGTGGAATTATGTGACCCTGGAGCATTATCCTGACTTAGCTAAGACTCCATTACACTGTCAGAGAGTGCTTGAAAATTAGGCATTGGAGTATTGAAGCTGACGGTTCAGTAATACTAATTTGACTTATCATACTCTGTGTAATATTTAATAGTTCACTGTCCTTTCCTTCCCCAGCGCTCCCAGAGCTGAATCTCGCAGGAATGGGTTACGTTCTTGAAGATTCAGGAATTCTCATCAAATCTGAGTGATGCTGCCAGCACTTGGAGCCTGCAGAATATTTCTAGAGAGGGAACTGTGGCTCTAGAATCCATTTGATATTGACAGACTTCCTGTTCAAGAAGAGTCTCAGCTTGTAAATACTAGTGATTTAGGATACCTGGCCCTCTGCCTTTGAAGAGCTGATTCCCAGTTAAATGGGTTTAACCCACAAAATGTGACATCAGATGCTGATCACTTAATAAAGTAAAACCAGTGGAAAAATCCTTTGAAAAACCCTTGGAAAAAAGCCTGCTTGTATCAACCAACTATTCTTTCTCTTACTTTATCCCATTCTCCTCTTGGAACATTTTCTCCCAAGTTTGTTTGCAGATCTCCTGGTCATGTTAAACCATTTTCTAACCTCATTGTGACCTCTTCTGTTCTTAGCTGCTGGACTGAGGTCATTAAAAACAGGTTGTTATTGCTACCCTGTTAGCACAGTCCCACAGTAAACTGGACATGTCCCGGCTCTGTTTGTGCTTTTTGACACTGCTCAGCCAATTCCGAGGTGGCACTTTTGGTTTCACCTGGCTGCACCTATCTTCTAGTACAAGGCTCTTCTGGAGCATGTTGATGCCTTTCTGACAGGTCTGGTTTTCTGATACGTGTGCAGCAGCTTTGCTGGCTTCTGAAGGTTTTGTTTACTCTGTGTTTCAACCAGAGCATGTCAGGAAAAGTGCAGAGGCCAAAGAGTCTTCAGTTAGGAGACAACAGACTGACTTTGCTTCAGAATTCGTCACTCCAGCAGTCGACACCGCTCAGCCCACCGCCCATCACTCCCAGAACACCAAGAACCCACAGTAAGTCGTGTCGCCTGGCGGCTGGTGCATCCACGGAGCAGCACCTGCCATAGGAATCGCCCTTTCCTGGGGTGACACCACTCTGGGAAGCTGGAGATGGAGGGAGGGACTGCTCTGATGTAGTTTACTGGAAACGACCCTAGGCCATTAATATTTTTGTAGAAATTTGTGCCATGTAACATTACTTAGAAGTGCTATCAAAGGAGCTAATATCATACTTGCGTCTTACATACTGGTTCTTGAAATTAGAAAATAAGGTGAATTTCAGAGAGCATTTCATCATTAGTTTTTTTTTCAATTTCTGTCTTTTCTCCTGTTTTGACTTGTGGGAAGGAGTATTGAATCTCAAGGTGAGCATTGTGTAACTGATTTAAAAAAAACAGTTTCTCTGGAAATCAAGTCAGGTGGCCCAACAACATGCGTTACACTTGTAAAACCAGTTTCTAATCTCATACACCTGAGGAATACCTCTGTTGAATTCACTGAATAGAAGGGGAAGTGCCTCAGTCCAGCAGGTTGGTTTCAGTTCAGAACAAGTCTCTGGTTAAATTTTCTAGGCAAACCTTGAAGGCCTTCATGTTCATAATGAGTAACTCCCAGCTCTATCATGTGGCGAAATGTTTTAGGAGGAAATGTTGCTATGCTGCTGGAAAATTAACAAATAAGGGCTGTTATGCCTGAAAGAGGAAATTCATCTGGAAGAATTAGCAAAACAAATAATTGGCTGAATACCTTCCTTACATATGTAGTAGGCTGCCTGGAATTCCTCAGAAGTTTGGATAGTTGCCCTGTCAACTGGAGTTAAAATCAAAGTTGAAACCTCAGGTCGATGCCTGGGCTGAAAGGAAGAGCCCTTGAACATTTCAGATGTGATAATGGATTCAATTTGCTCTTCTCTCAGGCATATGCCTTTCACATGAGCTTAGGTTCATTTTGTGAAGATAGAACTCTTCTGGGTATTCTGAACTTCAGGGAGATGGAGCTGTGGTTCTGCTTTGACATATCTGCCCGAGTTTAGCTGCTAAAACAGTTCTGTTAGCACACTTAAACTGCAAAATGTTACATGATTTTTCCCTTAAAATTACCTGTGTTCAATCCCGTTTCCCGCTGCTGTTCAGCTTTCTCTGCCTTAACTACCTTTTTCCTACTGTTTTTCCCCAGGTTTTCCCTCGTTGCAAGCCGATGGATTGGTAAGTGCCAGCTTCCAGAGTGCCCCCCCGCCGCCTCCGCCCAAGAGCAAACCCTATGAGAACAGCAGCTCCAGGAGCGCTGCGGAGGTGAGGAAACGGGAGCGGGCGCCTTGCTGGAAACCAGCTTTGGAGGGAGAGGTGCCACTGGAATTTTCCGAACAATCTCTGGGGTGGTGCTGCTTGCAATTTGTCTAATCGTTTTACGGGTTCACTCCCTGAAACCACAAAAGAATAAGAAGTTTTTCACTTCGGGGAGGTTAAGTGCAGTCCCTTTTTCAAGTGAAAGCGTTGTGTTATCCTTGGTTAGGCAAACATTAAAATATATAGAAATACAGAAAACAAAAAAGCAACATAATGATTGAAGAGTTTAAAAAACATGATCAACATGTAAAATAGCACAGCAATCTGTTCTTTTTATGCTATCTTATTGTACTTTGTTTTTTCAGGTTGCTCCACCATTGCCCAGCAGACGTGAAGCCAAACCTCCTCCTCCACCCCCCAAAACCAGAAAATCCAGTGTCCTTTCCTCAGAGCAAGGGCTGCAATGAAGATCATCACTTGCAAAACAGCAAATGCCTGGAGTGAGATGGCTGCTTTCCTTTTAATGACATGCTGTGGCTCTGCAACCCTAAAGACTGATGATCCCTCCTCCCATTCCATTCACTTCCTGTGGAGTTTTTCCTGGAAAATACCAAGAGAAGCTGCTGTTGGAACTGTATTTCCAAGCTCTGATTTACCTTTCCCATACTGAGACACTGTTCACGTGGGGGGAGCAGTAACACTACTAGAATTGCTGTGTTTCATAGTCTTGTCTATCCTGGGCTTTTCTCCAGTGCAGTTTCACCAGCTCGTTCCTGGTGTAAATCTGTCACGGTAATGGCTTGCTTCAATGTGTGAGCGAAGGTAAGCCATGCCAGTGTGATATCCTTCCTATTTCATGTAGATTTATTACAGCCATGCAATTGCTCTGATCCCTCCTCCTGCCCCTGAACATGTAGTGAAACCCTGATGTGCCTGAGGGGAAGCAGACTGTGGCCATTCCTAGCTGTGCAATGTCAGGTGTTGTCACGTGCCATCCATACGACGTGCAGGCTGAAGATTCTTGGTTGCAACCTTGGCGTTGTTGGCAGAACGAGAAGTCTCTTTGTCCTCCCTGCCGGTCACCCTGTGTGTTGAAGGTGAAGACATTCTGCCTTACTGCTCCCCTGGTGGTAGTTGGTCGCTCCTGAGAGTTTAGGTTCACCAGGACTGTGTCATAATTTCCCTGCTGATTCTGGTTGTAACACTACAGAGCTGTTGATACTCTTCCCTGAATTATGTTTTGTCCTTGGCTCCTGTGCATATCTGGGACATGGTACCATTTGTAAGGTTTTTCTTTTTAAATAGGGTGTAAAAAATCACTTATTTCCTGTGAACATAGTCGAATTGGTAGAGGTTGCACTGATAGCAGCACTGTGTTGGTCAGAAGAGCTCCAGGATGGAGTGCAGGTAAAGCTGGCTCTACACGTGGCCTCAGAAGCTGTTTGACAGCTGCAGTGACGGATGCTCTGGATGGCCACGTCCCTGCGCGCTCCCCCACCGCGCACACATTTGTTGCTGTTGCAGTTCTTGCACTTTGTGTTTTTCCACCTCCGTTGATCTCGTGTCTTTTTAACAACCTCTAGCCTTTAAGATCTAGGAGGTATGGGAAAGACTGGACAGGTTACTGTTGCTTGGGTTACTCCTGTTCAGCTTTTCCTTGGAGGATGGGATAGTTATGCTGTTTGTTATTAATCTCTTTTATTTATTCCCTGCTGCATCTGGATGTCAGCATCACTCTTTACATTGTCTAGAGAAAAAAAAAATTACATGATCTTGATTTTTTTTTTAAATCAGTGTCTTTTTTAAATGTTTTTAAATCCATATGATGCATCACAGAAGAAGCTGTTGCACACAGCTGGAGTAGCCGTTCCTCCCGGTCCTGCTGTGGTTGAGAACGAAGCAGGGTGTCATCCCTGTTCACGGATCGGGGCCCTGGCCCCCTGCACACTGCCCTGTGCTGGGCTGTGCCTCGGGAAGGAGCCGTCCCGGACTCGCGCCGTGGGGCCGGTCGTGGCGCCGCGCACGGGGGGGATCTCGAACCCTCCGGACGCCCTTCGCCCCGCTCCGTGGTGCGTTGCAGGACTTGCCAGCTCCTCGCTGCCTTCTTGGGCGCAGACGCTGCTTGACTGAAAACCGTTGGGTTTTCTCTCTTTCTCTCTTCGTCCACATCCTCCTCCTGTAGTAACCTACATCTTCTGCTCCTGCTGCACACACTTGAACTGAAGATCCTCTCAAGCTCCCCACCTGAACAAGAGCTTGTTGTGTTCAGTGCAGGTGTTGCCTGCCGCGCCTTTCCGGAGCAGCCTGGCCTCAGCTCCAGCCGGCAGGAGCAGAGGAGCCTGCGTGGGTGCCTTGGTGGCTGCAGGTGGCTGATGGGCACTGCCGTCCTTGTCACTGACATCCAGCTGGAGGGAGGCCCTGGGAGCGCCCGGCGGCTCCGGAGCCCCTCCGGCACGGGCAGGACGAGGGGCAGCTCCAGGCTCTGTGTAACCGGAGCACACCCGGCACAGAGCCCTCTGCCACGGCTGGATCTTTGGCTTTTCCTGCGAGCCAAGCTCCTTAAAAAGCGGAGGAGATGTTGTTATCCCAGGGCCTGCTGTGCCTGCAGTGACACTGTGTTCCCTGGAGGAGTTCTTGGTTCCCTGTCTGCACAGCCCAAGCTCCTCGGCTGGCCCGGCCGCAAGGGCAGCGAGGAGGCGGTTGTACCGACCCGAGCCCGTGTCGGAAGCGGGGAATTTTGGGGAAGAAAAAGGCTGGGCATGAAGTGTGAGTGAGCATGGGACTCCAGCCATGCTGGTGAAGGGGAATTGTGTCCATATTGTTGTGAGAAAATCTACCCAGATTCCAGTTGTGAGTGTGGGTTTTTCTGTTTGGTTTGTGTGGGGGGTTTTGTTTGTTTGTTTTTCATCTTAAAATGTTGTGATTTTTAGTGACTTTTTCTATAGTACCTACTTGATGTAAATTCTGAGATTAAATTCCAGAGGTGATCTGAAATCTCACTGTCTTATGAGTAAAACAAACCTGGAACTTAAAAATCCACTTTGCAGAGAAGGCAAAATCTAAACCCATTTCATAGCCCTGCTGTTCAAAGCTAGTGCTAAATAACAAGTCTTAGAGGATATTTCTTTGAGAAATATGCTCAACTCTTGTTTTCTGGCGCTTTTAATTAAAATTCGTCATGCTGTGATAAACTCCTTTAAAAATGTTGCAGGCTCTAATCCGCATCAGGGGAAGAGAGAAGCAGACAGCTTTCTGTTTCAGTGGCTTATTGGATTAGGAAAGGACACTGATTCCAGTGAGAACTGCCCTGTGATCTGCAATGGCAGAAGATACTGTCGTGTTTATGTAGCAGTGGGTGGGAATCTGCATCTCGTAACCTCCACACTGCAGCCCAGCGTGTTTCCACAGTGAGTGATTACCAGCAAGTTACATCCACTGATAATCCTCCTTATTTATTTTATATAGCTGTAAATGAAAATATTGATGTATGTAATTTAACTGCATTTTTAATAGTAAAATCATTCCTGACCATTACTGCTTCCCTTCATTTTTTTTTCTTTTTTTAATTAAAAGCTTCTCCATCTATTATTTACTGTTGTAGACCAAATTATCTGGTGGACTGGGGTGAGTTTTCCCTAGGACTGCATCAGAAACAAAAACGTACAAATAATGTTCCATTGACAGCATGGCAGGGCTTGGCGTTTTCAGAAGCCCGTGCGTTCACCCAGTTCTGCTCCTCCTAGTTCACAATCAGTGTTTGGTGCTGCTGACGCGGGCGTTCGTGTCCCCGTGGGAGCCGTGGGGTGGCCGGTGCCCGCTCCGGAGCGCCTGCCCCGGCCCACGAGGGCAGCTCGTGCCGGTGCCACGCGCTGCAGCCCTGGGGCTCCTGGCAGGACGGCAGCGTGGAAACCCAGGCTGTGAGCACCCGAGACACTGCGGCTGCCCTTCGGAAACACCGTTCCCAGCTTTCGGCCCTTCTGAAAGTCACTCCTAATACGTGTCGTGTTGATCCATGCAGCTTTGCGCTGTTGGTATTGCAAAGGTTTAATGCTATGAGGCTTGGGAAGTGCCTGTCTTGAATTCAGGAATATATGGATGTTGTCTAACATGCTGTTGTGAGTGTTTTGAGATCCAGGATGTGATAGTTTAGTTGCAAAACCCACCTTTAGGGACTGCAACTACCTTCCTTTCTTCTCTCTTCCTTTATTCCTCTACAGTTGAACAGAAAAAAAATACAGCTTTAAAGCTGCTCTGAAGAAAGAGTAGGATCTGAGTTTTGGAAAGGAAATCTGCATCTCTCTGGGTAAATGACATATGATTCACTAAGGCTGTAAAGCAAGGTGTATAAATTTGTGTGTTTTTTAAGATGTATTAACTACTGTAAACTTTGTAAATACCTTTTTAAATAAATGTAGTTTTTGAATGAACCAGACAAAGAAAAGACAGGTTGAAAACGTTCGTCACTTGTGCATGGCTCACGTCACTCGAGCGCGAGTGGAGTGACCTTGTTCAGGTCGTTGTTGGGAGCCGGACAGGGTGACCTGAGCCCCGGGGCCGCGTGCACGGCCGGGCGCTCCTGCTGCCCTGAAACGGGTTCTCCCTCGCTTGCAAACCAGTGCCCTGCACAGCAATGCTTTCCACAACTCACATGTAACTTCAGAATATTTATTCACATAATACAGTCTAAGCAGAGGTGTCGAGGAGGAATTGTTTTTAACGTTGTCTTTCAGTTTGACTCGGAGTTCCTTGTTCCATTTGACTCCGGTTTAGATTTTCTTCCCGCTAGCCTCTTCCATCAGACTTGCCTGTAAACAAACGTATACTTTGTTTAGAAGAAAGAAAAAAAAAAAGCTACTTTGATGGCATTTTAAAGCCTAGTCAGATGCTGATGGTTTTGATTTGTAGGATTAGAATGCCATAAAAATGACCCAGCGTGATCCCTGTGCCACCTGCCTGTGGGTCTGACCATAGCATAGCGTAACCCACACTTAGAATAGCCCCCGGCTGCCTCCTGGGGCAGAGCTTAGTGCTCCTAGGGAAAAGGAGCTCTTGTATGGAATCCTGCGGGACCTGCGCCTCTCCTGGGAGCGCTGCTTGTGTCTCGGGTGTTGTGGATAGAAGCGCTCCACGAGCCCGTGGTTCCTTCCGTGTCTTCGCTAGGTGGATCTGCATTCGCACGCGCTGTTGCTTCTCCAGGAAACGGAGAGGGGTGGACCATTTCCTGACACTTCCCCTCTCATCGCACAACATTCCTGTAGCAACTCCAGGAATGCGTTACCCTGGAAAAGCTGCATCTGGAAAAGGTCTAATTTATTTTCGCTGTCATTAAGCAGTTAAAAACATGGAGAGGCCACATGATTCAGAGAGTGGGAGTGAGAAATGCAAAATAAGATGTAAACCTCTGAATCAAACACCTCGTACACTGATTCTGCATAACTGCTAGCCCTTTCCAACAAGCAAAGCTAAACATCTACCTGGGCAACCTTCAGCTCTGCGAAGGAAGGACAAGTTTCCCTGGGTGAGCAAGAGCCACCAGAGAACTCGTCTGAAATACTCAGACATTTTCTGCTATCTCTTCCCTCCCTAATATGGTTTCTTTCAATAGGAAAAGATGCGTCAGCACCTTGCTGTGGTTGCTGGCTCTTCGTGCTGCCAGTGGTGCTGCTGGAAGCCAGAGCTACAGGTGATGCCCCGTTGCAATTCGCTCAGTACCAACTGGAGTTTAGGTAAGTTGTGCATGAAAACTCTGTTGGAATTAAACTCTTCAGTCTGTTTTAGCATGTTTGAGTTTATAAGCCTTTTTTTCAGGTCAGAATTTCCTAAGTGAGAGAAAGAGCATGTGGTTGTGTGGGGTTTTGTTCTTGTTCTCTGTACAAGCGAAGCAGAGATGTTGAGGGCCTCAGTCTTCAGAAGCAGCTTGGAGCTGTTTCCCAGGGAGCGGTGAGCTTCTACCCTAGTGAAGGTGCTGCTATATTAATTAAAGAGCTCATTTCTGCTGGAGTGTGCGTTTTGTGGCAGTGAGTCCATGCAGTCCCTGCTGTCACTGCATTATGGCATCTAATGGAAATGCATTTCCCAGCCTAGGGACCTCGGGAGTAGCAGCTTCCATATGGCCTGATCCTTCAGCTGGCACAGGGTGCCTTTGAAGTTAAGTATCCGCGAATGCTGCCAAGATGTGGAATGAGGGTAGAATGTATTTCCCTCCTTGCTTTTTTGTTTGTTTTTCATTTGGTGAGCAATGACATTACTAGAGTGGCAGCATCAAGAGTAATGGAGTCCTGAACTAAACTTGGATGCCTTTTCTTTGTCCTCCACCCCTTTTCCTCCCCCTACATGTCGTTTCCCAGCCTGATACAGTCGCTTCATTTTCCCATGGTGCTAAAACAAACCTGTTACTTACCAGGGCCTCCTTCAGATCACGAAACCTGGGGTGCTCATAGGGGCCTGGGCATTTGGTCTTCTGCATTTCCTCCATTTTTTCCATTCTATTTTCAATCTGAGTTGGGAAAGGATATAGCCTTCATGAAAGGCAAGCACTCGTAGTTATAGATCAAGAAGAACCCGCTCCACAGTTTAAATTTACCTCTTCCCAACTGCTATTACTGAGTTACAGTAAACTTAAAATTATTATGTAGGAACTGCTATTTTGAGGGACTATAGTTGAAGCAATGGAGCAGTAGGAAGCATGGGAAAACAGTGGTGAATGGAGTCTTGCATGTCTGTCTGATGATTTGAACACTTAATCTACATGGTCGCTGTCGGACTAGTTACCACCTGACAGCTGCTCATTGCCACATTCACACTGCAGTGACTGAACACGGTCATAAAACAACACTCAATATGGGCTGAAAGTGCGGAAACGGTGGATTTGGGTTGAGCTTAGAATTAAAACTTCTTTCTTGCCCATAGAGCAGGCTGCACAAACTGTGTGTAACAGCCACCACAGCTGTCCTAGACTTCATCTCTCTCAGCTTTTCAATGAATAAACGTGTGTGTATATAATATATACACATCCAGCAAAGCCTGTTTCATCTCTAATACTGCGCCCTGTACATATAAGGTGTCGTAGTCAGAAGGCCAAAGTTGCTTTAAAATCTAGAGCTTACCTCTTGGAATGATTCTGCCAGGTTTTCAGCGTTCCTTTTGCCTCCTGGTTGTAGCCCGTAAGACCAGTGTTGAGCCAAGCAGATTTCCACGGCTGCAAGAAGCAGGACGACGCTGAGGAGGATCTTCCTGCACTTCTCCATTCTGCGGGAGAGCGAAACACCGTTGATACTGTGCTGGCATTGTAAGTACTGACCTATTTTATCTTGCAGAAATGTAGCATTTCTGGAGTGACTCTTCAGTTCCCATCTCCTGCATCCCACTGGTATTATGTCAACATGTGATCAAAATCAACATGGATTTTGAGCCACTCAGAATGTGATTAGCTCATTATCAAGAAAGTGATATCTGAAAAAAAAAAAACGTATTGAGCTAGGAATTACTTTTTTCATAATCTCAGAGTTTTAAGAGAAGCAGGACCTCAAAGGCTTAGTGAAAAACCCTGCTGCTGGCTAGCAGGTTCAGTTCAGCTAGTTCTAATGCCCAGTCCTCTGTGCGTTCTTTCCCAATGCAAGTTGCTTCTAGTGCAAGTGTCTGTAAGGACTGAACAAGGAGAATAAGGTAGCGTGTTCAAGCACATTACCTGCTCAGTGACAGAATCTGCAGAGTTGCTCCTGCTCCTCCTGCGTGGAATGCTGTCCTTGTCATCTCCCCTTCATATATAGCACCTCAACCCCCGATCCTTCACAGCAGGTCACTTAATTCTATCTCTCTGACTGCAATTTTCTTCTTAAAATTGCTGTAATGCAGCAGAAGTAAAGCACATAATTGGAGCACCCCTGATGCAGCTGTTGAATTCAGCTTGTTAAGGCTCCTGAAGGCAACAGCTGACTGCACAAACTTTCTTTTCAATGGCTTCTAGTTTGTTAAAAAAGAAAAAAAAAGAGGAAATAAATGAATATAAACTGAGAAGTGGTGTTAGTGGGTCTAATAGACAAGTAGAGCAGACTGTAAACGTGCTGGGGACGGCACCTTCCCTGTGTCGTTATGACGGGGGTTCCTTCACGAATAGAACTTCCAGGCACTAACGTATGGGTAACATTAAATAGGCACCTATAAACGCATTTTTAGAGCTCCTCACTGTGCGAGTCTCTGTGCTGCAGGATATTTTAGGAGTGGTAGCCATCTGTATAGACAAGTTAAACTTAGCAACTTTGACTGTTTTTTTACAATCCTTCTGGCAGCAATTTTGACTTGCTGTGCACCATTTTATGTACAATTGAATGTATCATTACATAATATATGATAATACATGAATGTATTGCATTTAGTAGTCCTTTAACATCACCTTTCCTGGTGGGGTCCCCCCCGTGACTTCTTTCAAATTAATAGATTAAAGAATAAGTAAATATTTTAAGGAGGATTAAGTGACTCCAGCAAAAAGTTACTCTTCCTGCTCTAATGCATCATCACAGCAGGACTAGACAACATTTAACCTCAGGTGACAAAACTGATCAAGCTGTGAAAATGGTTTGTTTCCGTTGCAGAAATGTTAGTGCAGAGTAGGCTTTAGAAGGGAGATTTTCCTATGATAACGTTTTAAAGCTACTTCCTTCATGATCAGCTTGCCAAAAATTAAGGTTATTTAAAAGTAAACAGAAGATTTTGTTCATCCTGAAGGACGTGGTCCTGCTGAGCCCAGTAGTTGCACCTCTTATTAACCCAGCACATTAAGCTGCAGCCCTTAGCAGCTCTCACACTTCCTTACTGAGGGCAGAAAAACAGAGTCAAGAACCCTGTAGCTGACAATTAAGCTTTTAGTTGGGAGGCCAAAATGGTTCTTTTGCTTTCTGCCCATGTGCACGTTGCCCATGCAGAAGTGAAGACTCCTAAAACTCAAGTCTTTTCATAAAATGAGTGATCAAGCATGGACAGAGCTGCGGGTACAGCAAGAAGCCCTTTGAAGAAAGCACCGATTCCTACAAATACAGGCGAAGGCAGCAGCCAGGGACTCAGGAAAGGCAGGTACCAGCTTCAACTATGAAATACCTTACGTTTACACACAAAGAAAAGCACCAGCCATCAAAGTTGCCCTTCTCTTCTATTTTCTTGCACTTCCACTAAAAGTCGAATACATTTTTCTTTTTAAATTAAGAGCACAAACATGTTTATATTTTACACTTTTATTAATGCAGTTTAAATTATGCAGGAACCTGCAATTTCTGAATAGGCCACTTTGGGCTATCCATACAGCTTTGTCATAGCAAAAGAGGTACCTTATATTTGTATGTGAATGAACAATGTCACATGCTGTGATTATTCAAAACATAGTGCTTCAGTGAAAGTTCAAATATATTTTATACATAGTGATTATGAAAATAGATTTTTTTCCATACAATATTTTACTTCTGCCAGCTACAAAATATGATAAAGAAAAATAATTCATTTATTTCTCTAGCCCTGGGAATCTTCTCCCTCTACAACTTACACACCACTCTTAATGGAAGTGATGGTGTGGAAGGAAGGACTCCAAAGAGTTGATGCATTTCCCTTGAACATACAGCTGTATCTTACCACTTGTCCTACAGCCAGATCAAGAGGCCTGGGAATCTGGAAACAACAACAAAAAAACCACAATTCTGAATCACATGGCTATGGGATTTTGAGTCCCAGAAGTTCACGTGTTATGCCTGAGTCAACCCAACTTGAAAATAAGGGAGAATCCGGCAATTCCCCCACAGAAATCGTATATTGTTTGTTCCTAACTAATGTTTCTAGATAAACAGCAAAGCAGCATTTTCATAGTTACTATTGAGACAACACGACTCCTGTTCAGAGGGCAGTCAGTTCACCCTGCAACAAGTAAAAGGCAGCCCCCTGCAGCAGCTGAGGAAATTCACACCACTGCCAACAGTGTCACAGTCTGCAAGTTCTAGGATCCATTTGTTCTTAACTTCCAGTAACAGCTGCATTTCCTAGACTCAAGGTTAGTTCCAACGTTGGGGTATTTTGATCAGCATCTGAGGTAAGAGACCTTGATAAACGGTTTTTGGTATAGTTTCATCCTGTGCTGTTCGATTGTGTAGAAATGCACCGCTTTGTGAGCCGGGCGGCGCTGGAAGCGCTCGGTGAAGGCGCCGCGCGAGCCGCCTCCTGCGCACGGAGCCGGAGCCGCGGAGCACGCGGAGCACACGGAGCGCGCGGAGCCGGAGCTGCGGCTGGAGGGGCTCCGGGCCCTGCTCTGCAAGAGCAAAAGCAACATTCTGCAGGTGGATAAGATACTGGGAAGCAAGAGCGTTTTTCTCCCCAGCTGTAATAATGCAAATCCACACTAATTTGGAAAGGATTTAAATAAGACATCCAATTTTTGGACAGGGTTGTTTTAGTTATAACTAAATCTGCTGTGTATGTGAAGTTTCTTTTTTTTCAAATGTAATCTCTTCAGCAGAAGGGTCTTCCACTGTGTATTTCAGAATGTGATAGAGAGCAGTTCTATACCTAAAGGTGAACTATTACAAGCCAATACATTACCCATGACTACAGTTAACTACAGTTTCACCCCAGAGGAAGAGAGTACCTGAAAGTGTCCCGTGGACAACCACATCTGTCATTTAACACACTGTGCATGAATGAAGAAACTTACTGTAGATAAACTCATCTAACTGTAAACCTCAATGTTTTTGCTACTATACATGAATAACGTTTTCTATTCATATTGCAGCTACAGATTTAATAAATAGAATTGCATATATTGTGCTTTATAAATTAAAATGCATTCCAAAGTGAGGCAATGCTAAATAATGAATCTATTGAAAAAACCTAAAAGCCACACATTCCGGTTCTAAAACCAGCCCACTTCCTCACTCTATTCACATAGAAACAGTATCTATTTCTCTCTTAAATAAAGCTCCCTCCCCCAAAAGTGATCAGAGAAGAGTTTACTTAGGCACTAATGCAAATTTAAGTTTCTAATAAACATTGCTTCTAACTTAATAAGGAGAGCAGGTGAAAAAAGTCTCAGTATGTGTTTTGATTGCTTCCTCTAGAGCAAGTTCTTCCCTATCTGACGCTCTGAGACATGTGCAGAGGTGTCAGCATCTCTTCAAAGATAGCTCCTTTTACATTAGATCCCCTCAAATTAGCTTCTTGGAGGTCACAACCCGACAGATCACAATTCTAAAGGGTAAAAGAAAAAATATATATTAGTTGGAGTATACTCAGAACTTAATTCAAAATTTTACCTTAAGTACACTTAGATAGAAGCCATGTACACTACCATAAATTTCAACCTCTTGAGCTCCATCCCTTTACTTCAGAGTTTTAGTTATTTCTCACAAGACAGGAACTGCTTTAGACAGTACCAGCTGGACTTATTTTTAAGTTATTAAACTGAACATTTTTTATAACAAATTACCGTACAGGAGTTACTACTGCATGCTGAAAAAAAAGGAAGTTGCCTCTTCCTAATCAACAGTTATTACTCTGAATGCTTCTTTAACACTTGAGGAAGAACTGCCATGTAAATAGCTTGCAAAACAAGCCAGATTGTTGTGCTGTGACATGCTAGCAGTCAGGTAAGATTCTCCCATTACTCACTTCTAAATCAGTTCCTGCCAAAGTTGCTCCTCTGAGATTACAGTTTTTTAGTTTTGCATTTTTCAGCGTTGCAACTCGTAGATTGATTCCTGTCATTTGACTACCTTCCATGTCAACACCTTTCAGGTTAGCCCCTAAAATACACAAAGAGTGAATCTGTATTATTTAAAAACAGACATTTTTCAGTTTCCACACAGTAGTGAATAGACAAAGACTCCTTACCTTCCAAATTAGCTTTAAGGCCTGATGGATCTTCAAAATTGCACCCTTTTAGAGATGCTCCTTCTGCATTGGAACACAGCATCTTTACCCCCTGGAGGTTTGCACACTGGTAAGAGACAGATGCTTAGAAAAATGCACCGACGCTTAGAAAAATGCAAAGATTAACAATACCAAAGATCAGATTATAGTCTTCATTTCTTTTCATGCAGTGAATCCTACTAAAGCACAGAACAGTCTTGGAGACAGTGCAACTACTTGCTATACTACTGCTTCTCCATCTTGGTAAGTAGTTCTCTCCCAGTGCTTTTTTAAGCTTTCATTTCTATTTTTTTTTTCCCAAAAAAGCTTTTGAATTGATCAGACTAGAACAAGTGAAGAAAACGGAAGAACTACAGATGTTTTACGCTTATCTATTTGTTCCAATTCCTATTCCCTTCAGTAAAGGCAGGCCAGCCCAAGACCCATTTCTCACATCGAGCACCGATCCAGAGAGGTCAGCTCTTTCCAGATTGGCGCAGCACAGGTTGGCGTGGGCTAGGTTGCAGCGGCTTAGGTTTGCCATCTTGAAGTTTATGTATCGAAGATCCAGGCGGGAAAGGTCTGCTCCACTAAAATTGAGGCCCTAAAAACAAACAACAAAAAAAGCACACACACGGCTTGAATTTCACGGGGTTTGTTGGTCACACGATGCTGGCAGGGTGTATCACCATCCGACCCCAGTACTATAGCTCAAAACAAAGTGCGTTTTCGCACCTGACATCGCAGCTCAGACTTGGTCGGGGTTGCCAGCAGGAACCGGACAAACTCCTTGCGCGATATGGGAGAATGATCCTCAGCTGGCTGCGAATTCTGTTGAGAGAGTTGTTTAAAAACTAGTACGGACAGAATTAAAACATGCATTGCCTGGAAGAACAGGACATGGACAGTCACATTCAAAAAAAAAATGTTACCTTAATAGCTATTTCTAGATGTTCAATCAATGAATCGATACCAAAAAATCTGGCTTCTTCCAAAACACCTAACAAAAGGAAGCAGCACTCGTTATTCATAACGAGACGAATTTGAATAAAACAAGCATTCTTCCTTACTGGAAGAGACAGTGTACAGTCCCACCAAGAGCATGCCAGAAACTTCAGGTTATTCCATCCTTGCAAGGGCATCAATTCAACGATTTTCACCTACTCTTTTAACTATATGTTTTAGTTATACTCAAAGATGAAAAGATCCTTTGCTGAGGTTTAAGGAGTCTCTAAGAAATGCATACACTAATAAAACCGTCAACCACATATATCATATTAGATGTAATTGGGTAAGGTTAGCTTGCTTTTAGCTAAAGGGAAATAGTAACTCAGAAAGGATATTTCCAATGCCAGCAGCAGGTTAAAGATAGCAAATCCAAAATGACAGCCACACAGTGATGAAATATGGAGAATTTTTAAAGCTCTCAAGATAAATAGGTTTAACCAGTATATCTTCATTAAACCAAATATGGAATTGAACTGAGGACCAAGTGCACCAAATCTTTAGGTGAACATATACAAGTCCCACTGGTTTCATCATGTTTATCTAGAGGCAAACTTGACTTGTGCAGCATAACAATTTAGGAGTCATACAGGTAATACCTACCTAGCAAATTAATGCCATCATTTACGATGAGCTGTCCATGACGCAAATAGTTCAGGATTGGCTCAAAATACTCTGGACTGCGGTCAATTAGGAATGCTCCTCTATGATCTTGTTTATTTCCCCAAGCATCTGTTTCCACAAAGTATACATATAATTAAATTTGATGTGTTAATAGAACAGCATTTGCTTCAGTTTCAAACTGTGACTACTATACGGTCCTGGGTTAAAATGACAAACATTTCATGTTAAAGGGCATTTTGTTAAGAGAAAAGGAAGGAGAGTAACAGCAGGGGGAGAACAAACAAAAACACACTTTGAATATCTCTCTCCTACTCTATAAAACTAAAACACACATTATCACAGTTTTACCTTGATAGTGCCTTTTGCTAATTCCTAGGTTAAAAGATAAAGTTTATTTCAGTATACTAACCTTTATCCTTAAACATATGGGCCAACATACTGTCAGGTTCCTTATTCACCAAAGTGCTCCTAGAAAATAAAGGCAGCTCAATTTTCCTTTTCAAATAGAACGTTTTGCTCAAGAGACCCACTAGCTGGTTAGAGTGTATTCCCTCCCCTTGGCAGCTTGCAGGTAATGATGGTTGGTACCCAACACGCATTCCAACACCCACAACAGGAGGCTGATTTAGACAAGTTACTTTACTGAAGTCCTTCAGAATAAAGCCAACCTAGGTGGACTGTTACCGTGTAGTGGTGAAGTATCGGCCTCCAACGTTGAGTGTTAGCCAGTCTGTGTGGGATCCTGTTAGTTCTTCATGAGACCGCGCATCAGCCTGAGGATCTACACAAGCAAGAACACAGTAACTATTAGAAGGAGACATTTGAATCCTCCCTACGGTAAAAGTCTTTTTTGAAAAGTATCTGAAAAGGAAGCTTTAGATTTACATGAAAACAAAATTAAAAACAAAACTCTTTCCATTGAGCAAAATTACATTCAAGAATGACACACACTTACCAATGAACGGTTCCCCTTCGCAGACAAACAAAACATCATCATCTCTGTAAGGGAAGGGGATGACAAGATAGTTAAAAGTCATTAACTATACTTTTTTGTTCCTTTATGTAAGTGACAGTATGACTCCCCTCCTAATTACCTTATCAGGTTATTAATAATAGGTTGACATTATTTAGGAGTTCAGTATTTGATTTTTATCTTAATTGTGCAGGTTCCAGCACAGCTTAATGCCATCAGCTTCAAGAGGGACGTTACTGATACACACCTGTACAAACCTGGTAGGAATCGCTTCTTTTACTTAGCGTGTTGAGTTTTATGCAATAGTTGTTTCCCCCACACACACTTTAGGGTTTTTTTTTTTAAGAAGTTAATGCAATGCTACAGTTTCTCTGCCTATTCTGAAGCCTCCTCTACTGCTACCCCTCGGTTTAGCAGCAGTAAGAACCACTTGTGCAGGACCAGAGCAGGGGGATGTGCCTGGTAAACAGCGTCGTGCTGCGGCCCAGCACAGGGCGTGTTAAAGGCACAAAATGCAGCCTGAATTACCCCGAGGCAAACGGGGCCTCTGCACGTCGCTGGGGAAGGATGCGGTGCCTTGCGGAAAAGCGCTGGTCCCCGATGAGGGCCAGGGCACCGGCAGGATATCGATGCCCGAGCCCTCCCCGGGCAGCCCTACCTGATCAGGGCGATATCGTCAATGAGGCCGCCCTTCCCGTTGTAGACGCTGGTCGCTTTGATCCCCAGCTTGCTGCTCGCCACGGAGAGCAGGTCGGACAGAGTCCCGTACACAGCCACGACCTGCGGGGGAAACGGCTCGAGCAGGGGCCCCGCAGGAGCAGCG